TAGCTCAAAATTTTAAAGAGAGACCAACTTATATATATATACCAAAAATAAGGGTAACTGCTATGAAGGGATAGAATATGACTCTAAAAATGAAAAATAAAAAATATTTTTTAAAAAAGGGATTGATAAGATGTTGGTTGAAAAAGGGAAAAAGAAAAAGTAAAAAAAAAAAGTTAAAAAAAAATTAACTTTGAAAGACTAAAGAATCATGGTAAAAAAGCCATGAATTCTATGTGCAGTATTCCTTTAGTGCTGGAGTTCTGCCATTCCCATTGATGGGTAAACTTGGTCTTGGCTGGCTGTTCTTGCTGATCTTCTGGGGGAGGGGCCTGTTGCCATGGTTCCCAAATGTCTTTGCTGGAGGCAGAATTGCCCCGCCGTTGCCAGGTCCAGGCTAAGTAATCTGCTCGGTTTGCTCTCGGGAGCTTTTGTTCTCTGCAAACTTTCAGTACAGCTTTGGAGGACGAGAGTGAAAATGGTGGCCTCTCAATCTCCGCCCCAGAGGAGACTCGGGGCCCCACTCCTCAGTGAGCCCCCAGAGAAAAGCAGTCACTCCCGTCTCTCCAGTCTCCGACAGCACTCCATGCTCACCTGGCCTGTGACCGAGCATTTCTATCTCTGGCCCCCGGCCCCGTGTGGAGTCTCCAAACCCAGCAGATCCCTGTGGTGCACTCCCGCGCCACTCCTCCCAGGGGAGGAAGGAGAGTCTCCCCGGATCTGCCGCTTGTTGGGTCCCTGCTGGAGGTGCAGTGGCCCAGCTGTGCTGTGGATCACAGTTTATGGCAACCCCGAGCTGTGAGCCCACTCCTCGGCTCCTTCTCTGCAGCTGGCTTCCCCGCTCCAATACCTGGGAGCTCTGCTGCACTCAGGCACCCCTGGTCTTTCTGTGACCCCGTGGGTCCTGAGACCACACTATCCCAGCGAGGGTTCCACTCCCCGCTTAGCCACTGGAGCAACGTCCCTCAGCGGAGCCCATGTCTAAAAGTTCTGATTTTGTGCTCTGCTGCTCTATCACTTGCCAGAAGTGTCTGACGGAGGCCCCCTCCCCCGCCGTCTATCTTCTGGAATATCGCCTCGGATTCACTTCTTCGCACGTCCTACATTCCAGAAAGTGGTTACTTTTCTGTTCAGAGAGTTGTTGCTGTTCTTTTCTTTGATCTCCTGTTGAGTTCATAGGTGTTTAGAATGGTTTGATCCCTATCTAGCTGAATTCCTGGGACCAGAGGAAATCCAGGTCTCCTACACCTCTGCCATCTTGGTCCGCCCCTCTTATATTTAAATCTTTAATTCATTATGAGTTGATTTATATATATGAAGTGAGATAAGGGTCCAATTTTATTCTTTTGCATGTGGAAGACAAGTTTCCCTATACCATTTATTGAAGGGATGGTCCTTTCCCTATATATGTTCTTGGCACCTTTGCAAAGATCTATATAAATGTGTGGATTTATTTTTGGGCTCTCTGTTTCCCTCTATTGGTCTCTGTCTTTTTCTGCCAGTACCATACTGTTTTATTAAAGCTTTTGAAATCAGTATACTTTGAAATTAGGTAGTGTGATGCCTCCAACTTTGTTCCTTTTGTTCAGGATTGCTTTGACTATTAACAGTCTGTTTTGGTTCTCTATAAATTTTAGGATTTTTTTTCTGTTTCTGTGAAAAACACCATTGGAATTTTGAATCTTTAGATCTCTTTGGGTAATATGAACATTTTAACAATATTAGTTCTTCTGATCTATGAACATGGGATATTTTTCCATTTATTTGTGTCTTCAGTTTTTTTCATCAGTGTTTTAGTTTCAATAGATCTTTCACTCCCTTGGTTAAATCTATTCTAAGTATTTTATTTTTTGATGCTGTTGTAAATGGAATTTTCTTCATTTCTTTTTCAGGTAGTTTGCTAGTGTACAGAAATACAACTGATTTTTATATGTTGATTTTATATTCTGCAACTTTACTGAATTGGTTTAACAGGTTTTTTTGTTTTTTATTGTTTTTGGTAGAGTCTTTAGGGTTTTCTATATATAAGATCACATTGTCTGCAAACAGAGACAATTTTACTTCTTTCCAATTCGACTACCTTTTCCTTGTCTAATTACTCTGGCTAGGACTTCCAGTACTAAATAGTGAATAGTGGTGAGAGTGGTCATGATTGTGTTGTTTCTGATCTGAAATGCTTTTAACCTTTAACTGTTGAGTATGTTACCTGTGGGCTTACCATATGTGGCCTTTATTATGTTGATGTGTGTTCCTTCTATACCCACTTTGTTAAGACTTTGGAAAAATTTTGTCAAATGCTTTTTTGCATCTACTGAGATGATCATAGGATTTTTATCTTTCATTCTGTCAATGCGGTGTATCACATTTATTGATTTGCATATGTTGAACTATCCTTGCACTCCAGAGATAAATCCCACTTGATCATGTTGTGTGATCTTTTTAATGTGTTGTTGAATTTGGTCTGCTGGTATGTTGTTGAGGAATTTTGCATCTGTGTTCATCAGGGATATCAGCCTGTAACTTTCTTGTAGCGTCTTTGGCTCTGGGACAAGGGTAATGCTGGCCTTGTAAAAGGAGGTTTGGGAGCATTTGTAAGTTTTCTTCGAAGAGTTTGAAAAAGATTGGCATTATTTCTTCATTTTTGATTCCTGATTCAATCTTTGTGCTGCTCTGTTCAGATACTCAATCTTTATGATTCAGTCTTGGCAGCTAATATGTTTCTAAGTACATATCCATTTCTTCTAGGTTATCCAGTTTGTTGGTGTATAAATGCTTATAGTAGTCTCTTATAATGTTCCTTATTTCTTTGGTATCAATTGTAGTGTTTCCTCTTTCATTTTTTGAGTTTTGAGTTCTCTCTTTTACTCTAGTTAAAGGTGTGCCAATTTTGTTTTTTCAAAAAACCAACTCTTAGTTTTATTGATCTTTTATATTGATTTTCTAGTCTCTATTTCATTTATTTCTGCTCTGATCTGTATCATTTCCTCCCTTCTGCTAATTTTCGGGTTAGTTTGTTCTTTTTCTAGTTCCTTTCTAGTTTCTTGAGGTGTAGAGATAGGTTGTTTCAGATATTTTTTCTTAATGAAGGCATTTATACCATAAACTTCCTCTTCGAGCTGCTTTTGCTGCATCCTGTACTTTTGATGTTGTGTTTCAACTTTGATTCATCTCTAGATAATTTGATTTCATTTTGACCTGTTGCTTGTTCAGGAGTGTGTTGCAAGACTCTTAGTGGTCATCATTTATTAAATTTGAGAAGCTCAACTACATAGGTGTAAATCTTTTAAAGAAACTTGTAAGATGATATGGCAGCCTTAGAGGGATCAGGCCTGTTGTATTTGGTCTTACCTTTATTTGGTGTTTGCTTAAGTGTTCAGCTGGAGAAAGAAACTATCTTCTACTGATTACTTCTTACTAGACACTGTTCTAGGTGCTTTACTTAATTTCATTTTATCCACACACAGGTCTGAGTTATAGGTGTTTTCCCCAACTTATAGATTAGTTGCACTTGTTCCGTATTAATGAGATTGGACTTTAATAAATATTTTAAGACATGTTCTTCCTGACCACAAAGTTTGGGATCCTTGAAATTCAACGGTATAGATTTTATCTGATTGTTGTTGCTGATAATATCTGTTTAGATATTTTGACTTTATTCTTTGTGGTTGAAGGTTGTTGGAGATGAGTTGTTTTATTATTCATTCATTGATTTGACAAATAGTTCTTGAGTATCTATTGTTCTAGGCATAGAGCTGAAGATGAGCTCCTTTCTTTCTCTCTGAATTTCTTAAGTCAACCTTACTCTGTTCTGGAACCTTCCAGACTTTCACCAGAAATGAATGAAATTCTAGGCTCTGACAGCAGAGTCTGTACTCCCAGAAACCCATAGATGTGGGATACCTAAAGCCGGACAAGTTCCAGTCCTTTTCTGTCACTTGAGAAAGACTATGTTTTGCCTGCCAAGGACACATAGCTCTTCCCCTGAAGACAAGATGAAGTCCCAGATTATGTCTTTATTTCAAAGTTTTCCAGTCTCATATTTCTCAGCACATTAGCTTTACTAGGTGCACTGGGGTAAAGGGAAAACATCTGTGTTTAGAAACCCGTGGGGAAGGACCACTGCATATCCCATCTCCCAAGAGCTTGCTCATGCTTGCCAGGGGCTTTGAGTAGTTCCCTCTAGGACTTGACCACAGTGTCTTTCAGGTTCGATCACAGGTGCTTATCTGGATACCTAGGAGTTGGGAAGGAAATGCTGTAGACCTTTGCCTCCAACTCTTCGTTTTCATAGCCATACATTCCTGCCTCTGAAATTCTGCTTTGGTTCTTTTCTCTAGGTTGGAGGGGTTAGGTAGATCTTGGACAGATAGGGTTCCCTGCCCCCCTTTTGGTGATTCAGTTTTAGAAATGCATAGTCTGTGAAAGCAGAATATTTACAATTTATCATCTCCGGTGACATGGGTTGAGGAGGATGGTGGCTTTTGGTGAGGAGAAAAGATTTCTTCTGGGAACATCTTCCCTTTACTAGGAAGATCTGCTTTAAGGTGATACTGACATCAGCTGTATATCTCCTGGGTCCTTCTCCCAGTGCACTGTCAAGGGCCATCTTGACCCTGAAATAGATACTCCCTTTACTGATAGGTGGGAAGGCATTCAGGAGGGACTGAGACTCAAAAACGGACATAGTCCCTTGACCTTTGGCTTTGTGCCCAGTGTGATGGCCTCATAGGGAAGCTTTGCAAAACGAGGACATGGGATTCCTAGGTGGCATTTTATGTCTTGAGAAAAATCTAGACAATTCTCCTAGAGGGACTTTTCTCAGAGATCCTTTTCTTGACATTAAGGAAATAGGATACAAGCTTTGCAGTCCAAGCCTGCCCGTAACTTGTGTTATGTATGTATGTATGGGGCTAAAGAATTCAAGGGAACATAGGAGAACCCAGAAAAGTTACATTTCCTAGACTCATACTCTCAAAGGTGTTCACCAGTGATCATTATTTCAGGAGAATGAGATCCTGACTGAACAGGAGGAGCTTCTAGCCATGGAGCAGTTTTTACGTCGACAGATTGCCTCAGAAAAAGAAGAGATTGAACGCCTCAGAGCTGAGATTGCTGAAATTCAGAGGTAAACGAAAGCAGAGGGTTTTAAGTTTGCAAGAATGTTTAAATATAAACATAAAATTGTTTCAGCTCTCAGACTTTCATACAAAAGAACTAGACATCCAAATCACTTGTCTTTAAGTTTCTTTCTCTTTGTTTTTAAGATTTATTTGAGAGAGAGAGAGTGTATGCAGTTGGGGGCGGGAGGAGAGGGAGAGAGAGAATCTCAGGTAAACTCTCTGCTGACCATGGAGCCCGACGAGGGGTTGATTCCATGACCCTGAGATCATGGCCTGAGCTGAAGCCGAGTCGGACGCTCAATGGACTGAGCCACCCGGGCGCCCCCAAGTTTCTTCTTGATTAAATCTTGAGAATGGTGCTCTGTTAAGCCAGTTCATGAAAAGCTGGTGAATCTAAAGGGTAGGAAAGGAGCAGCATTCCTTCCTCTGCTCACTGGTCCTTTTCTCTTGGCCTTCCGCCCACAGCCGTCAGCAGCATGGCCGCAGTGAGACCGAGGAGTACTCCTCCGACAGTGAGAGTGAGAGTGAGGATGAAGAGGAGCTTCAGATCATCCTGGAGGACTTACAGAGGCAGAACGAAGAGCTAGAAGTGAGCACCGGCTTCCCGAAACTCGTAGAGGCCACCTCTTTCCCTTAGAAGTTGTCTTCCTTTCCTTGGGAAGCAGCGGGGAGGTTGAGTAGAGAGGAGTTTAGGGGACATCTCACCAGAGTGTGCAGGGGGTGAGCTGGTCCTGGCCGAGCACACAGCACAGGTGTGACCTCACCGGGCATCCCTGGGTGTGGTGACCCTTCCCTTCCATTTATGAGGAGCCCCACCTGACTGCCTTGAACAGTTGTGGAAGATCTGGGCTAACTTGCCAGAGATGAACAGGAGGAGAAATGCTGGTGGAGGAAGGAAAAGTCTCCTGACTCACCTGCGGGTAAAATGGGGACAAAGTTTTCTCTCATCCCTTAACCCTTGAAGCAGCCAGTGTGAATAAGCTTGGCCCTAGGGATCTGGGAGGCAAGCGCATGGTGAAATGAAAGCAAGAGATTTACATGATCCTGATCAGAACTTCCCTTCTTACCCCAGATTAATCATTGTCTCCGGATGTTTTATCTCAGGGTTGAGAGAAAGCCAGTCTTAGATTCTAAGAATGGTGGGACAACTTTGTTTCTCTCATCCTGGTGCATTCAGCTGCTGGGGCAGATCAGAGCCACCCACTGCATAGAAAACTAGAATTCCACACCAACAGTAAGTCCTATGGACAGGGTTGAGAGGGGCAGCACACCGAGGCTCAGGTCCCGGAACACTCGCAGCAGCCAGGGGCGTGTTGTGGGAGAAGTGGAGTAGCGGGTGGGGCCCTGGGCCACCGTGTAGCTTCCCTTCTTTAGAAGGGCGTCACGTTGGCACTCTGTTTTGCTTTCTTAACATTTTACAGATCATACGAAAATCCTAAGTAGGAAAATGTTCCAGAATTGTAGTACTTAGGATACGGGCTTAGCTGCTGTAACAAAGAAAATACTCTCTCGTGGTTTGAACAAGACAGTTCTATGCCTCGCCTGGCAGACATCTAGGTCTCCCACCCTCCACGTGAGTGGAAAACACTTGGGGTCCAGAGTAGCCCCTTAGGTCTTAGCCACTCTTAGCAGGAAGGGGGAAGGAACCCAAGAATGTCTGGTGGTTAAGGGCAAGTGGCACAAGTAGAAGGCAACGCTTCTGCTCACACCCTGTCAGCAGAGGCCCCTGGCCACAGCTAGCTGCGGGGGAGGCCAGGAGACACATGCTGCATGCGAAGGCCTCCACCTCAGGAGGTCAGCAGAGTTCGGGATTAGCTACTGAGCTGCCTTGGCTCTGCTGAAGGAGTGCCGTAATGTAGAACTGATAGCTCTCTAGTTTGCCTAAGTAGCCCAGTTCACAAAAGACAAGGGACATCCACTTTTGAGACAAGTCTGGGATTTTATCTTATCTCTAACTTCTCCCTCTGATTGCTGGTACAGTCACTTCTATCTTCCACTTACTTAAGGGCTGGTCTGGAGCCCATAAATTAAACCTATTTTAAACACTAAAATACTTAATATTTAATATCCTTAAGCAGATTGTTTTCTGTTGGTGCATTTATCTTTTCCAGATGTGTTTACTCTTCTGTACTGAGCAGAATTTTGTGCATTCTGGGTCAAGGTCTTTACGTGTCTCATTTGCATATATTCATGTTCTCATCTGCTGTTTCGCGACTAAAACATAGATTCTTGTGTAGGATACCCTCGCTAACTGTTCCTGAATCATTGTCCTTTTGCCCTTCCTGCTTCCGTGACAACTGTTCCTTTGTCATTCCTCAAGATAAAGAACAATCATTTGAATCAAGCAATTCACGAAGAGCGAGAGGCCATCATCGAACTGCGGGTGCAGCTGCGCCTGCTCCAGCTGCAGCGAGCCAAGCCCGAGGCGCAGGCGCAGGACGATGACGAGCCCGAGAGGCGGCCGGGCGCCCTGGAGCAGGCCAAGCCGTCCCCGGGCAGAGACAGGAAGGAGACGCCCATCTGAGCAGCCCGAGCGGCACGGGACCCCCAGACCCAATGAGACCTGTGCATCTTACTGTAACCCTGAGAGTCGGAGTGCACAACTCTCTGCTGTACATTCTGTAAAGATGTCTTTTCTTCTCAGACTCTTCCTTCTTTTCACACGTGTGACTTCTCCGAGTCAGGCTCAGGTTACACGGAGGACAAAGCAGTGCGCGCAGTGTGGGCTTGTAGGGGACAGATGAGTTTTCCAGATAGTGTCAGCTTATTTGAAGATTAATTTTCTTTGTTAACTTAAAACTATTTTAACCCTTGAGTGGCTTCTTTTTAAACCAAAAATCGTCTTTCTTTGCTTTTTTATTACAGCAGAATCAGGATCTCTTTCTCTTGTTCAAGGGGTTGGGAACCAAACAAGGTAAATACTGTTCCTGCCTTGTGGATTGCCCCATAGTCTCACCCTCCGGGATCTCTGCTTACTAGTCACTCTTGCTTGTGCCTTTTACACCTTTTTGGTGCAGATTATATAATGGGGAGCTGCCTCATATTTCCTGACTGGCCAGAACGGCTCTTACTGAGGTTACCTTTACCCACCCTTGTCACCCTCTCCTTTGACGGTCCTAACCCACAGTCCATGAGCCTGAGTCACAGGATGGCCTAGCTGGTCACAGAGCTGCTGGTGGAGCCTGCCCACTGGCCCCCCTCCCCCCTCCTCCCCACCCCCCCACCCTGCAATGGAGGAGTAGCCACCTCGCTCCTGCTGATCAGCACGTGCTTTTCACTGGGTTGGTCGAAGGTAGCTGCCTGGCCTGAGGCGTCCACACAGAGGATCTGTTTCTGAACCCAGACATCTTCTGTGTGACTCATCTGCCATTAAACACAGAATGACCGAGATTGCTTGCTTGGGCTAGAATGTAAAAGTCTCTTTGCCTGAATAAGCCATATATGCTCTTAAACAAAAGTTTTCAATGACCCGTGTCATCTCAGTGAACCTGCTGATGGACTCCCAATTGACAAGATTGAGCAATAGAAAAAAAAAAACTTCTCCTTTAAACGATAGCTGTGATTCCCGACCCCGTTTTCTTGCTTCTGCGACTTCTCTGGTGACTGAGGCATCTGGGAGGTCAGCTCTCAGGCACCTTTGTTTAGTCGTGCTCTGTCGGAATCAGTGGCACTCATGAGGTAGGTCAGCTCTCATGGCTATGAAGACAGACCCCACACACTCAAGGTGATGGAAGCAAACCCCCCCCCCCCCCGCCCCGAGGGTTCTGTCCTCTCCTAGTTACTATTTATTTTCAGCACCTGTTTGATGCGGTTTTTAATTCTCTACCTATTGCACTGTTGTGACTTGTTGGCCATTGTTTGATTTTTGTACGAAAAAAAGCTTTGTTATAGAAATCAGCATACTATTTTTTTAAATCTGGAGAGAAGATATTATGGTGACTGAAAATATGGTCAGGTGTCAAATATAAACGTATAAAAGCCTTCTTGCTGTCCTGTCGGTCATATTACATTATTTCATATTTGCTGGCAATATTGAAGGTTTCTTTTTTGTTTGTGTGAACTCTAATTTCTATCAAGGTGTCATGATTTTTAAAATTAGTATTTCATTACAGCTGTCTCAGCGTTGGTTAACTAATTTTTTCCAGGACCATTATTGATCAAGCAAATAAATTCAACAGCCATTTGAAGAAAAAAAAAAAAAGAAAAAACAACAAAACCCCAGCGTCTTGTTTTATTTGTACACATTCTTTCTTTGAAGTAGTTAGTACCCTGTGGCTGACCAGGAGTTGGTTTGATACTTCTTTGAGGTCCAAGAGTGCACTAACCTTCTGTTTTCACTTGCTGTCTGCTCCTCACCTCGGTGGACTTGATGCCCCTTGTTGGTGGCGAGGGTTTGCTGTCCTCCTCCTTCCCCAAGTAGGTGCTTGCTGCTGAGGGAGCACATGATCGTGCAGTGCAGCTGACTGGCATCAGGGCGGTGGCTTCTTCCGTGAGCAATGTCCTGCTTACGGTGCAAAGAGCCCTTCGAAATGATGGCACAGGTCAGTCAGCGCGACTTGGCAAAAGAGCAGGTCGGTTATTACAGTTGCTTTCCTTTTAGGGGCTGGCAGGGGTCTGTCAGGCCAATTAACTAGCATTGATTAGGCGATTCCTGATTGATTCCATTGCCGGGAGCACTGGACCTGTGATTAAGTTGTGTTTGCTGACATGGGGCTTAGCATAAGTGACCCTGTTTTGGGCCTCTTATCTCTAACAATAACCTCCCTTTTGATGAGACTCTCAGCCTTGAGAGATGGGATCAAAATCTAAGGCATTAGTGCTCCTCTCTGCTACCATTCTGGTGTTCTTGCAGTTCCCACCCAGTGTTGGGTTCACATTCTTTAATTTGGTCATTCTCTGTTCCTTTTCTGATGTTCTGTTCTTCGGGAGATCATTTGCATGGTGGTACGTGGCAGCAGACATGGATTTAAAGCTTTTGAGAGTTTCAGCACACCAGGGAGCTACTAGGATTCTAAGCAGGATAATTCCAGTATCTGGAGTATACTCCGGAGCCATGGTCCCCAAGACCCAAGTCAGTCAACAAAGACCTGTTTGTAGGAGTCACTTAGGCCAACTGGCGTGTTCACAGACCTTAGGTAGCGGAGTCTCCACTTCCGCACAGGTGTCAGCCCAAGTGCAGCAAATGGCATTGGCCACAGCACAGAGCCCTCCTTGCTCAGCTGATAGATAACCAGGGGCCTTCCCGGTACCAAGAATCTCTCAGGGGATAGAGCCAGGGTTTGCTTATTGTTGTGGGGCAGCTATTGCTTTAGAAGCAGATTCTTCAGTATCTTCAGGAGTTAAGGAGAAGTTCTGATCATAGCCTCATTTGCACTTAGGCTTAGCCAGGTGAAGAGAAGAATCTGTTGAAGGAAGTGAATTTGGAATCCTGAATGCTTCCTGGGAAATCCGGTTTGAGTCTGTGGCTTGGCCTGGACAGGTGACAGCCATGGAGGCCAGTACAATTTCAGGATCTATAGACTGCACCGGTGGTTTTATTCTGGGTAGCGTCTCGTATCTGTTTCTTGGTCCGGAGCCTGGATGCAAGGTTCCCCAGGTTTGGGGTTGTTAACTGGAGATAGGGAGAGGGACCCCGAGGGTTAGGGAGCCTGACGGGACTGAGAGAGGGCCGAGCTTGTTCCAAAGAAACCAAGGCATCGGAAATCAGAAGTTTGTGGTGGACAGAATGTAGGATCACCAGCATCGTGGCAAATCCAAGAGTTGTTTAAACGTTGATTACCTGCTTGAGGTATGTGAACAAGGTAGTTTCTGGGCCAGAGGCAAGGCAAAAGGTGAACAAAAGAACCCTAAAGACCTTCATGGTGGTAGAATTAGGGAAAGGATGGTCAGGGAAGGAGCAGAAACATTCCTTGCCCCACGTCTTGGGAGGAAGCTGTCTACCTCAATGTTGGCTACTTCTCTTCCTGGTCATTTTTCTTTTGAGGTCTCCAGCCATTTACACAGGACTAGATGGCAGGTGGAGCCATCTTCCTGCAAAATCCACACCTTCTAACTTGGTAGCAGTGTCAGTAGTCAGAGTACTTGGTAGGGTCCTTTCCACGAATCTCACTTTTACAAAAGCATCAGAGTAAAGTGACTGTCTGTAAATGACAAGACTTTAAAAATGCCCATGGTTAATGATCTGATGAGTTTATCGGAGAAGGAAATGTAGTTATTTCATCATTTAGGGTAATAATTGGACAATGAGAGTTTTGACAAATACCTAGAAACTGCAATTTCTGGATTACTTATGTTAGTAATATACACATATTAACCATACACATATAACCTAAGGTTATTTGACAGTGCTTCCCACATATTTTAACATGTTGAATTAATGAGAGCCAGCCTTTGAGACTTTCCAGGAGCCCTCTGGGAAAATCTCAAAGTTAGTTTGAGGTCAAAAAGACTTGAGAATTTTAAGAAAATGTCAAAAGGTTTGAACATTCCATTAAATAGGATAATAGATAATTATGAAATAACTCTAGTGAAAGTGACAGATGTTGAGGTAAATACAGGTTATATAGTTGTGAACAAAAGCTCTCAATATTGTGAAGACTGGGTTTTTGTTTTTTTTTTTAAGATTTTGTTTATTTGAGAGAGAGAATGAAATAGAGCATGAGGGGGGGGAGGGCCAGAGGGAGAAGCAGACTTCCCGCTGAGCAGGGAGCCCGATGCGGGGTTCGATCCCAGGACTCCAGGATCATGACCTGAGCCGAAGGCAGTTGCTTAACCAACTGAGCCACCCAGGCGCCCAAGACTGGGTTTTCTTAAGTAATCAAAGACCTGATAAAGACAGTGTAAAGCAGAGTTAGTAATTTGGGGAAGAAGAAAATCTTTCCTGTCCAAAGGTTGGAAAAAAAAACAAAACCCCATAAACAACCTTTGCAATTTCTTATTAGGAGCAGAACAATCATCTAAGAAAACTTTGTCCTTTTAACAGAAAACCAAATTCTGATTTTGTATCTGTATTTGATATTAAAACTCATTTTTTAAAAAAACTTTGTCTATATTCCAATTTTAGCCAGCTTCACCACACTTAAATTCCTTTCCCAAGATTCCTTTTCCACAAACTTTTTACAACTTTTTTCTATCCATTCAGATTTTGTCCTGGGTTTTCTCCTTTAATTCTGGAAAACTTAACCAGTCATTTTACTTTCCTTACCTACTTTCCATATGCAGGTTTTCCTTTTATCTTTGTTTTGTTTTTGTTTTTGTTTTTTCCTTAGAGTGGGGGGGGGGAGGGATAGAGAGGGAGGGAGGGAGAATCTTAAGCAGGCTGTACACACGGGGCAGGGCTCGATCTCACAACCCTGAGATCATGACCTGAGCAGAAATTGAGAATCTGATGCTTAACTGACTGAGCCACCCAGGCACCCCCACCCTTATTATTTCTAAGTAGGTTTCATTATATGCATTGATTAGAATTTGTAACCTTTAGGATCCTTCATTCCTAACGAAAATGAAGACGTAAGCAATTGTGGACTGTTAAGCTAGTATTCTGCGGATTGACAAATTTATAGGTAACATTTTCAGTTTCTAAAAGCATATTCTTCCTCTCAGTAAATTTTGCAGCGCAGCACAAAACGTGTTTACTGATAGACCCGAATGTCTTTATCTCTTCTTTATTATAAAAGGAAGGCAAAAGTGGTAAACCTTTGTTCATAAATAAATCTTTAAAAAAAAATACTGACACATTAATTAGCAGGGGGTGGGGCAGAGGGGGAAGGAGAGAGAGAATCTCAAGCAGATTCCTGGCTGAGTGTGGAGCCCCACTTGGGGCTTGATTCCACAACTCTGAGATCATGACCTGAGCTGAAACCAAAAGTCAGATGCTCAACCGAATGAGCTACCCAGGTGCCCCAATGTTTCAGTATTTCTATCTTATTTGGAAACTGATCTATAGATAGTCCATGAATATCCATTATTTATCTCAATATAACTTTAAAGTTTCAAGTTACCAAAAAGATTTTGAAAACTATTTTTAAGTAGACATACCAAAAAGCATAATTATTGTTGAAAACTTCATTTATAAAGTTTTGTCTTATTTACATCTATTTAATTCATTTGTCCTTAACAATTGAGACTGGTGAAAATTTCACGATATTAAACTAACCACCGTCTTACCTTTCTTGCTGACCCAACTCTGTAACAGAGACAACATGAGCTTATTTGATTTTTAGTAAACTAAGGTAGAATAAAAGTTTTATATGTTCACATTATATTTAATGTTAATAACTCTAAAGACACTCCTGTTTTAATTCAACAAGCTAGATTTTATTTACTGAAGATTATCCTAGATCACATGAACTTGAAAAACATTCGGGTTAGTTTCTGTGTTTCTGAGGATATACTTGATTTATATAATACTTGTGTTTAAGCCAAATAGGGCTCCTTACAAATTAATTTTGGCAACATCATCTGGAGCTAAAAAAGAAATCACACATTTATAAGGTATATACACTGACATACCTAACCCTATAGACAACAGGTCTTGTAGCTTTTAAGATTTCAGCTGTTAAGATAGTTTTAATTTAAGTGCAGAACTCACTAGTTTATGAAAGAACAGTTGGATACAAATTTCGTTTTAGGCAGAATAAGGTTACCTGCTCAGATGGCTTAAACTTTTCACTAATATTTGTGAAGAATTTAAAGATCTTATTTTTTCCTGGTAAGAATTACACAGAGCAGACCAGTTAGAACTCTTCCATCTCAGAAGGCACAGAAAACACAAGTTCCACCAAAGAGGACTTTTGTTCTCAAAGCCTTCTGAGGTGAACAGGGGAGGTTTGGGGGTTTGTAAAGATGGCAGGAAGAGCTTTAGATTGTTTTAGAGCCGCATTTCTATTCTTGTGAAGACTCAATTTATAAGGCAGGCACAGTTGTTTTTATTTATTTACTTATAAAAGTTTGTTTTGGGTAATCTCTACACCCATTGTGGGGCTTGAACCCATGACCCTGAGATCAAGGCTCATTGCTCTGAGCCAGCTGGGCACCCCAAGTACAGTTGTTTTTATTCCTCAAAGAATTGGGTTACAACCTGAATGATAGCAAGAGGCTGACCCAGCCACCCAACTACATAATCTTCAGTTTACTTCTTTTCTATCAGGGAGATGATCTTCAACTAAGATGGAAATCAAAAGATTCCTACATTCTAGATTTAGAGCTGTGTGTCTTTGGAATGTTTTAGTAAATCCTCCCACAAAGACTTCAGAATGTCCTTCTTTCCTTTGGGACACATAGGAATTTTTTTTAGGTCTTCTTCCCAAAGCTAAAAAGAAACTATCAGGCTCTGAATATCAGGCTTCCAGTTTGGCCAACTTCTGGCCATTTAGCTAACTTAAAAAAAAAAAAAAAAAAAAAGCTTGTTGGGTTTCAGCTGAGACAAATGGTAAATATTCCTGTCAGTATTGAGCAACCCGTGGACACAAGAGGTGTCCCCAAAGAAGGTGCAAAAGATACTACCATCTGATGATCCAGAACCACCCCTCAAGATAGCCAAAAAAAAAAGAGACAATTCCCCCGAAAGCTGGCAAAAGTTGAACCCTAGCCACAAAGGGAGAGTGCAGTCCACAGTTCTATCTGGCCATATTTTGGGGTCCCCACCCTGACGGTTGACAAGCCAAGTTCTGTGGACATTTTGTGTCTCATTTTGTGTCAATATAACTGCACAGGAGAGAGTTCTAATTCAAAGATCTAATTCTTAACAAATGCTTTTTGCCTGCCGATCTGAATATGCAAAAGAAGAGACAAGGTCACATTTTTGCTTCCTCTCTTGACTGGGCACCACAGAGATATGGAAGAGCTGACTGTGGTAAGAAAGAATTCTCACGGTTTGCTGGCTCCTGCCAATTTTCCCAGGATCCCATCTACAGGTTCCAGAGTGGGTGGGGTGTCCCAGCAGGTCTCTTCCTGGTCCCCAGAAACCATAGGGGAGGAAAAATAATTTTCCCTCTACTTTTAATGGGGAGGGGTTGGCTGGGACCCGTTTTTCTCTAGGCATCTTATAAATGGATAAGCGTATCTAGGTTAAAAGTTGTCTACTGTAGGGGGCACCTGGGTGGCTCAGTTGGTTAAGCGTCTGCCTTCGGCTCATGATCTCAGGATCCTGGGATGGAGCCCCACGTTGGGCTCTCTGCTCAGCGGGGAGCCTGCTTCGCCCTCTCCCTCTGCCTGCCGCTCTGCCTGCTTGTGCTCACTCTGTGAAATAAATAAAATCTTAAAAAAAATTGTCCACTGTAGCCACTGTACTCAAGATTATCCTTGGTAAGGTAAACCTGCTTGTTCAGCCTTACAATAAATTTGAAATCTGAGGCCTCACATTGGACCCAGTCCAGCTAGGTTAGACCTAGTCTGACCCCAGACGCAGTCAGGTTTCCACGTTGGCCCCAATCCAATTTTCAGGTTGGACCCAGTTAAATCTGGATTCATTCTGGTTTTTAAGTCAGACCCAGTCTAGGAAAATAATGCTCAAATAAAGTTTGAAAGCTCATAATGCAAAAGCTGCAAGACTGGATCTAAGAAGGATGGACCCACCACCTCCAGTGGCAAGAGGAACGCAGCAAGCTCTAGGGGCTCAGTGGGCACCTACGTCTGGTGGCTCCCTGGTCCTGCGGGCGGTCGGATGTCTCCTTCAGATCCCAGATCAGACACTAGAACCGTTACAAACGGAGGCATGTTACAAATTGTTAAGTTCATTTGAGCTATCAAAATTATGGAGAGAGTATTAATCTGGAAAAGGTAAAATTCCACACCAACAGCTTCTTCTAGGATCTTAGTACCTAAAAACATCACCTGGATTCTTGCTAGGAGTGCTGGATCGGAATCTGCCCTTTGACAAGATTCCAGGTGACTGAGATGTACATGAACATTTGAAAGGCAGCATTCTGAATGACCAACCTTGTGCTAGCACTATTTAAAAGCCAAAACAACAAAATACCCCAGAAAAAATCTCAGAATAAATGGCCATCCAAGACAAGTCTGGTGGCAGCACATACGTGCACCACATGCACTGTCTTTCCTCTGTGGGAGCTGCTGAGAACTTTCTCGTGGGCTGGGGGGACCCGCTGTGAGGGTGCACCCCCGCTGTGGCAGGCCAGAAGTTAAATGGCAGGGGGTGGCCCCCGGGGAGCTGAGACTCCCCTCGAGCGGCTGTCCCGCTTGCCCTCCTGTCAGTGACTGCCTAGGCAACTTTCCCTATAAAACTTCCTCTTCTCCACTATTTTTGTTCCCAAACTTCTGTGTCGTCTGAGTGCTGGGCTGCTGGTGAGCTCCAGGCTAGGACAGCTCATGGGGACTGGACCAGGCTGAGGGACACCCATGCTCACAGCTTCCTCCTGGAACATCTACAAACACTACCCAAGTGATGCCTCGGCTCCGGTTAGTAACAACTGTGGGTATCATTAACGCTAAATACAGTCGGGCAGGGTGAAAGAGTTATAGGATGAAATTTCTCACTACAAACCCCAAGTATCAAATCTGCCAAATTTCTTTCGGCAGAACTTAACCTACAACAGCAGTGTCATACGCTGCCTGGAGTGAAATCTGATCCCTTGCTGTCAAATTTTCTAGGAAAAGAATCCACCCTGCTCTTGACATTCTCCACCTTGCACGAGGAGGGCTGAAGACAGAACCACAAAGTCTTGCTTACATTTATTTCCAGACTCAACTTCTTTTCCTCTGGTGTGAGTCAGGAGATTATTCATTGTAGGGAAGCCGTTTGCTTGGTTTGGAGTTGCTGGGAGTTTCCTTCTTTTCCACCCATCACTCATCCCTTCTGTCTCCTGGAGTCTCGCACGGAAACATGACGATACAAGGAAATCATTGCGCATGTCCCGGAGCCTGAGGCACTTTTTCCTATAGACGGTCAGTTTCAAACCCTGCCGCCCCCGCTCCCAGCTCCCACCCTCCTTGAGCTGCGTCTGTGAAGAAGCATTGCTCCCTGATGCTCCCCAAATATGCCATGCCTGGCGTTTCAGGCATCCATGTTTCCCTGACGCTG